CATGCAATGGATATCACTTATTGTGATTATCTCTTTTGTAGTTCTCGCACTCGCCCCCCCCCCTCCAGCTTTTCCGAGTCCTATCAATATAGACTGAGTCAAAATGTTGGATTTTTTTTTTTGCACAACTTGATCACTCCGGCGTTATACAACAATCCAGTATTATTTCCTCTGCAATAGATTTACATAATTAGTGAAAGCAGTGTAAGGGGCAGAAATTATCTATATTATAATTTTTTTATATATATATAAATGATCTCTGCACATTACTAACTTTCTGTCAGTGTTCCTAACAAGGGAATAAAAGAGTTTATTATGGTTCTTATGTATGTTTGATCTGTTGGCACTCCATCTATTACATTTTTTTTTTACTCTGGGGCTAAATTCCATTTAGTAGTAAATCAGCTTTGTATAATATGTTTTCAAATACAATCCTAAGCAACTCTCGACACTGTGAATATAACAAGTCAGTGTTTAAAAAGATAGTTCTCCTGACTGTAATTTAGCCCCCTGTCAACCTGTATTACCTGGAATGCAATAATAGAGATTTGAATGTGTTTATTCTAGGCATTATTACTATCGGCAGAAATGCACAACAATAAGCTTCAGTGTGGTGAGTGTGCTGCACAGCCTGTACAAACAGCTGGTAACGTCAGTCCTCGGCTTACCTTTTGATTTTTTTTTTGTTTTGTTTTTTGTCCCGCTCCTCTTAGCAGTTGTAACTTATGTCTTTTAGAAAGACAACCCGCTCCTCTTAGCAGATGTAACTTATGTCTTTTAGAAAGACAACATGATTCATGCCTGTACGCTTTTTATGTCTTTTTTACCAGTGATTGTAAATAGTTGTTATATTTTTGTTGAAGAGAATGTTGAAAAAAGGAAGAGATAGCCTTTATTTCTCCAAGTCTACTGATATGAATTTGGACGATGAATAAAAAGACAAAACAAGAGTTTGCTTTCCCTGTGGGTGGTGTTTTCTGGAACAGATGTTCCTGGATGCTCAGAGCAGGGCGTTGAAACTACAGTCACCTGAGTGATACACAGAGGGAAGATAGGATTATGGTATTACCAAATACATTTTTTTTTTCAACTCTTCTACATCTTCTAAATGTAATACTCTTGGTTATTGATTGTCTCTGGATCCTTAAGGTGCATAGAAGGAGCCTGTGAAATACACAAAGTAAACATGAAAAAACCTAGTATGCACATTTTCATTTTCATATTATTGTACAATAATAATGTCTGATCTGTTTAGTTGAACACAACAGTGAGACTGCAGAAATTGAAGAAAGACCTGAATCATTCTGTTTAGTTTTCATAACCAAGTATAACTGCTGCCATCTAATGGAATAGTTTTTAAATAAAAATTGCTTTTCACTGAATATTTATTTACTGCGTAAATTTTAAGTTTGCTTTTTTTTTTTTTTTGGACTTTTTTTAATGGCATACGATAATGTTTCTAGTTTCAGTTTTTTATTGAACAAAAGCACAATGGTTTTGAGATTTAAACTAACAATCATACGACCCAGACCAGTATGTGGTCACTTGAGGTATGTTGATTACAGGCCTCCAGAGTTCATTTTTATCATTAGACTGATCAGGCACATTGAGTGAAATGGAGAGAAGTCAGTGTGGAGTGATAGTGTGATTGAATGGGGAGGGTCCTGTTAACCAGCTCTCAGAAAGTAGTCTTTATTTCACAGAGAATATTTTTCACAGCAACGAGTGTGAAGTGAAAGTTCACCTCCAACAGGGATAAGAAATTAAGTTCATTTTCAATTATACATCACAAAGTGCAAAAAGGGCTGAAGTCGAAGCCTGTATGTGCGATTGTGTGTGTATTTCACCTCATCTGCAGTTCGACTTTGAAGTTGTGACTTTGTCGGGAGCAGAAGCCCAAAGCAGGAGGTGGGAGAGTCGAAAGTTTACCACCTGAGGGCCGTGTGTACACAGGAGGGCTGGCTTTTTAGCATATTCCTGTTGAAATGAAAATTTGTCAGGAGCAACATTTCAGAAATATATTCAGTGTTCCTGCCCTTGAGAGTCACAGTGTGAAAATGGACATTTACCAGCAAAAAAAAAAAGAAAGTATTTTAACACTTCTTCTGGCTATATAATCAATTCAATTTAAGATAAGTCCAGAAATGAAAAATTAGTTGTTCAATTATGTCATCTTTCATTTATATGTTTGTATTATTATCTATGACATGATATAGATATGATGCTCTACTTTAAAGACAATAACATTACAAACCCTCATTATATTTCCAGGCCTGTTTTTCAAAATTTTAAGGTTGTCCCTTTACTCCAGTACTTTTCAAATAGTGGGGCGTGTCCCCTTGCAGGGCGTGGTGGGGCGCCGGGGGGTGGGGTTTGGTCTTTCAATGGAATATGGCACGCTGGACGTGTACCACTGCTGTAATGCTCGAAGGATTAGGCCTCCAGTCACTAGGTGGCAGCAACTCATACAGTGGTTTGTACAGATAGAAATATACACGTTATCAATAGTAATTCAATTCGCCGGAGTGTGGGTCGGAAATATAACTCTTTACGTTGTATTGCACGCAGTTTTAGCCTTTTTCCCCGCGTCACGCAACTTGAAGATTTTGTCCCACTTTTTCATTCGACATTATTTAATTGAAAACAAACTATTTTATGTACCTGGCTGTCTATCAGTGCGGTCCATAGCAATAATAGGCCACTTCGTCGATGAGGCGGAAGCTAACAGGCTAAGTAGTCTGCCAATCAAACTGCTAACCTTGCAGCAATTGCACACACGTTAGCGTCTGAATTGTTAGAGCACGCAGTTGTTTTGATACTGTGAAGGCGTCCATGGGCAGTGTGCCGAAAAATAAAGAAGGCGCCACAGTTTGGCTGAGCCCAGTGAATGGATATTATGAACCAGCATTCTGCAATTGGTGTAAAAACGGCTTTTCTGTCGGCCGTGGAAGCGAACCTGATGGGAAACAACACGACGCACGTAAGTCTCACAAAACAAATACACAACAGAAAACTCCAGACTCGAGTATTTTTTGTTTGTTGGCTAAAATTACTGCAGTAGAAGTTACCAGTGTTTACCATGCAGTGCAATATGCACATTGAGTCTTGTTACAGACTAGGTTTTAACATTTGTTGCTTTTCTGCTACCATGTGTTTCAGAAACGTCCTATTCCTAGTGCTAAGAAAGGCTGTTGGCCTGCCACCTGCTGGATTGTGATGCAAAATCTGTTTGGTGGCTGTGAGGTATTTCTATTTTTTATTTTCATGTTTTGGTATAACCCACAGGAGTTGTTGGTTTTACAGACACCTATTTATATTGAAATTGTTTAGTTTTACTCCAGGTTATATTTTGTTGTACCTTTTCTGCTTATTTAGGTTTAGGTTTAGCTTATGTCTTGGTTACTATAGAGTTTTTGTTTTGTGGAAGTAAAAAGATGTTACTTGGTAAAAAGAAAATAGGATTGGCTTTAAATGGTTGCGTCTGTCCCTCATTTGCTTGCTCTGACTTGCTACTTGTCCTGTATTTTGTCAATTTGGAGGTGGTCACCCTGGCTGTGGGTGTAATGTTCTAAACCAAAGTTTTCCCATCTTTAACTGCACTGTAAACCCTGTCCATTTAAGTATTAAAATTATACAAACATAAAATATACATACATAAACATGTACCATTTTGTAAGCTTTTTAAAATGTAGCTTCAAATGACCGTAATACCAAAAGTAAATCACTGTTTTAAACATGTTTCTTTTTTACAATAAACCACCAGTGATGTTAATAAAAAAATGGATGGCCATAGAACAGTCGAGGTCTGGGTATTTGAGAAACTTTGTACACGTTTGTATGCTCATCACGTTAACTGCACCTTCTCCAAACCATTCTAAATCATCTCTCCATTCCACCTTTGGTCTGTGCAGGTTGTACGCAAAAGATGAAATTGATCGGGAATCAGTATTCCTCCTTAAATGGCCGTGTTGATATGCAGTGTGTAAGACCTTCCAAATAGACTTTGGGCATTTTTACTGTCACCTTCCCAGCATTACTTAGCATTAGTAATGAATCAATGAAAGTGGGGCAACAAAGATGAAAACACAAAACAAAGTTTATAGAAATGAAGTAGAACTGTTGTTGCTCTCCGTTGGAGTGATTTTACACATTTCCATTGTTTACCTAGTTTGACTGTGGCTCACTTAAAGATGAGACACAAATCAATGTCTCTCTCCCGGCCGGCTGCCTGCTGCTTGATAACAGGTCAAGGTCGTAGTCCGTCCTCACCGGGGTCATTGAAGCAGCAGATAAATGAGTCGACAAGTCCACAGAATGTTACTGCCCAGAAGTCATCTGTCTAACTCACATTCTTTCCCCTCTGTCACATTCTCGTCCTTTGACTTTCTTAAATGACACTGAAGTTCTGGAATTGCTCATTTCCATTTCCTGGACTTGTTCGGTGTGTCTGACTTTGGCTTCTTCTCAAAGGTCACAGTGACAGAGGCGTTTGTTGTTGTTCTAGGACTGCAAAATTGTACTGTGAATCAAACATTCAAAAGCCAACCTTTCCAGTATTTTTTTCTTCTCTCAGCCATAAGAGGGCAGTATATCGCTTTGTGAAACGACTCCATAAGAGAACGCATGAAACTCTGCATCCCTGCATGAGCAGGAAGGATTAGTAAGAAGAAGACAATTTAGGGTCACACTTCCCTCCAGAGACTGGTCATTCCATTAAGGGCCAGATTACAAATGCATTGTCCTGGTTGGGGAAAAAAAAACGCAATCCTGGCTTTGTGCAGGCGATTATATCTGTTTGAAATGTCTTTGTTCTGTCAGCAGAAGTCTCCTCATCTCCTAACCAGTAAATGATGGCTCCTCCTCCATAATGACATTAAATTATTATTATTTTTTTTATTCAGGCCTTTTGTATTTTTCTCCCTATGTTTGTGTGTTCGTACGCATTCACACCACCTGTCTGTTCATATATTTTTAATGAAGTCTGTATGCACTCGTATGAAGCAGTTGCTGCTGTACTCAAGGGTCTTATCATCATCATCACATCTAATCATCATCATCACTGCATGCCATCATTAGCTTAAGTATACCGGCAGAGGAAGGTGACTGGCAGCAAGTAAAACTATCAGAGGTTCTACCTTCTTCTTTTTCTTCTTCTTCTTAATTCAGTAAAATCTCGTGACCTTCACGATTCAGGCCAAAGGCGAGAAACTCCACAGTGGTCACTGGTGCGTGTGTGCAGAGAAGCTCGATGCATGTTTTATGACTTTGGCCGGCTGACAGTTGTCCCTCTGCACATCAGCTGACCTTTCACATGTCTCACGCTCAGATTCCATATGAAAATTAAAGCAGCAGAGAACCTGAAATATGACGTAAAAAACGCTCAGTGTCTTCTTTTGCAGCATGGCTGACCCTAGTCTGTGTTTATTTGTTTTTTTTCCTTGGTATTTGACTTTCTTTTGTCTTGCTTTTGACACTTAGGTGGAAATGTTTACCAGTGAAACCAGACCCTGTTGTTGGTGGCTGTGATTGAACGACGCAGAGCTGCTGTTAAAGAGAGAGGTAAGTGGTATGAATTTATGGACTTATGTTAATGTTGCAGAACACTGGGTGTAAAATAGAACTATTCTGTGTCATGTTCTTAATTATAAGCGCACAAAGTTTATTTGTTTTTTTTAAATTTGCCTTCTTATCATCAAAATTCTTACCAAAGTTTCATTATCTGGTTATCAGAGATTAAAGTGGGAAAATACAGGCTTACCTGCTCTATATTATCTGGTCACAATAATGTCTTTCAGTAAGATCAATTTTTTAAGTTCAAAGGTCATCTTGTGACAATCTTTATGTGACAGTGGTAAATAAAAATGACAGTTTCAGGATTAGGATCTGCATAACTAAAAATTTAAATAAATTTAAACTGAACCCCTTTGACCACTTAGCCAACACTGCATTCACATCTGCATAGAGTCTGACCTATGTGCTGCATGTTTGAAGAATAGCAATAATTTTGAAAGCTGTATTTTGGTGAAACCTTTGACGTTTGCTCATTATTTGTGGGTAAGATGATGTAAAACAACCGAAAATATAATAGAGTGCAATGGCCATTGTTAGTATTGAAAGGTAAAAAAGTATTTTAGAGTGAAGAATGACAAAGTGGAAAAAGCAAAAGAGTGAGACCACAAAGAGTCGGAGGGAACATAAATACCTCCAGCTGAGAAAACTCCAACAGAAGAGTAGGAAAAATAGATGAGGGAGTCGACGGAGGGTTTACTCGGTGGGAGGCTCTGGCTTTGAACTGAGCGGAGGAAAAAGACAGAAGGAAGAATGAAGGGATCTCAGAGCAGATCATGATGTAGAGGAGTGGATTAAAGAAGCAGAGATCACAACAGAGTTAAGAAGAGTGTGAGACCGATGATGATAAAAAAAAAAAAAGAGAGAGAGAGAGAGACAATAGGCTGCAACTGCAGCACAGACTGAACTGAGCCATAACACCCATGTCTGTGAACCTGCAGATTATTAACTAAAACTGGAGACAGCAGATTTTAGCAGCTTAATGGGCAGGACTGTAGACCTAATCCAGACTTACCTGTATGCAAATATTAATGCATAATATTTGTCCATGTAAGATGTGATGAGAGATATGACTTTATTAATTCCACAGTGGATGTAAATCCATGTTACTCCAGCGGAGTAGATAAATGAAAGTAGATCCGAGTTAAAAGAAAAATGTATTTTTCTCAGTGCAGTCTCCTTGTTTTGGTTTAGAACGTTATACTTCATGGATTTTCTCAGCTGTCTTTGTGGAACCTGATGTTTGTATGTATTTCTTACATACAGTTTACAGTCAGTGATCCAGAGTTCAGCTCTAGTGGATTGTCAGCATAATGCTGCTGTATCTGAGACTTGGCGCCCGCTGATGTTACTTTGTTGCTGTCATTCTGTTGTGCAAACGTGTGTTGGCGTGTTCAAGTGTTCATTGCTGCAGTGTTATATCTGTATTGTAGTTCTCTATAGATGCTTTGTTTTTAGTGACGTCCATAATTTCTAGGCAACAGTCGTGACTTATTTGCTTGACTCGTCAAGGCAGACAGTTTGACTGGAGCTGGGCCAGGTTTGGTCAAACAGTATTGATGTGGGTCAAGTTTATATATGCACCAATAGGACAACAGTATTGATTTTATAACTCGGTTTACACTTGCTGAGAATGTTCTTCTGATTACACCAGGGCTGTCAAACTCATTCTGGTTCACGGGTTGCATACAACTTAATTAGATGTTGGCTGGACGGGTACAATTATGACATGATTAATTAAATTAAATTAAATAAATATAGATTAAATAAAAACTAAGGGGAAAAAGTTGAACTTATTATTATGTACAGTTGTACATAACAATAAGTTCAACTTTTTCCCCTTAGTTTTTATGCAAACACGAACAAATATATTAGTGATTTATTATGACTTATTCATATTCAATGAAATATAATTATATAAAAAATATCCTGAATGAAGTGTTTGTGTATTTTTTTTATTTTCAAAATGTATCCAGTGGGCCCGATAGAACACACAAGTGGGCTGGTTTCGGCCTGAGGGCCGTTTGTTTGACACCACTGGCTTATCTGATGCTATTTCTTTTAAAATCATAACTCATAGCCCTGTAGTGATTTGCAGTACTTTTCACGCACATGTACCCAGATTTGAGAACCCTTGATCTGTTTGTTTGACTCACTCTTATGTCAATAACACTTCGAATGGAATGGAAGTTAATTCAATTTGAACTGAAGAGAAATAATGAATCCCTTCAGGGATGGAAAGGTGACGGCAGCGTTTAACTGAAAATGTAGAAAAAGCAGCAGACTGTGTAAAATGAGCAATAATAATAAATCCCCATATTTACTATGTCATGTTACTATGTCAGCATGTAGTGAATACCTGCTGAGTATGCTGGATGGTGTATTTTGCATGTCCATTGATCAATGTAAAAAATTGAATTCTCGTTTGAAAGTCACGTCCATTTTGAAATTTTTGGTCAGGACTCTTACTTAATTGGACTGTGGTCCTGAGGTCAGAGCAGATTGTTGTACAAATCAGTTGAATTTTTTGCTTGTTTGTCTTAGCAGTGCATTACCTCATAACCCCACTAGAGGGCAGTGTCCACATTTTCTAATTACTGTCTTCCTTCATACTGCTCAATCACACTACCATCTTCATGCCTTCCGTCACTCCCACTCCTCTTCCTCATACCCCTCAGCTCCATCTCATACATTCTTCATATTCGCCTCACTCCCCAGCAACTTTAAGACGACACCACTGTTTCCATAACAGTTTATAAACATGTATATCCACAAATAACTGCGTTTGTAAAATACCACACCCGCCCCAAAGGATATTTAAAATATGACACCTGTGCTGTAGACAAACTGTGAAGACAAGGGTTTGTTTGAAAAGTGTAAGAACAAAGTGTCAGACTGAAGTAACACTGCTTCTTGTGAAATATATTCATTTGCCTCATCCTAAATCTAAAATAACGCGCCGCTAAGGAAACACACTCATAATGTATAATATTTCAGTGCAGTATTGATAATTTTGACTGCAGTGTCGAAACTCCCGTTAAAATATTTCCTTTTTAAACATAACACACTTTTTCGTTTTTTTTAAAACTTCCTACTTCTGGATTTGAGTTAACCACAGGGACACGTTCCTCTGTCATTAATAGAAGGGAACGGCAGCACTGAACATTTGAGGAAATGTGCAGAATTTCCCAGAGGCAGTGCTAACAAGCAGCCCTAACTGTATATCTGTTGATTTGTGGACTCACTCAGGACTGTAGTGTCAATGTTAATCATATGAAAACACAGACGTGAGTCTGCACTCGCCTCGCATCAACACAAACCCGAGGAACGTCGGAGTTGTTGTTGTGGAGACTACAGAGGTGTATTAGATGTTGATGTCAAACGATTACTGATTAATCACAAGGTAGCTGTGGATTAATCACGATTAATCAAGCTATATCAATATCTTGAATATGTAAAAAAAAAAAACCTCTTCTCCATATCTTGCTGGAACAAAAAGACAAATAACAATGACTTAATAATGTGTGTTGATTAATTTGTGCATTTTCTGCATCTCACACGAGTGGCTCTATTGTACGATAGTATGATATGGGGCATTAATGACCTCTGACTTTTTCAGTCAAAGTTGAGCAGTTGAGTTAGATTATCTGCAATGTTTCAGTTTAAAGAATTTTCAGTTTAATGCAGACAAATTAGTTCCAGTCTTTTCACAGTGACCTGTAGCAGTAGCTGTATCAGTCAAGGCTAAAATATCAGTGTACAGTAAGTCAGTTATTAGCAGGTTTGTATTCTGCGACGGCTATTGCCGTGGGACAGATTGTTGACGTTGTCGACGTCTTAGTGTTATGTGAATTACCCAGCCAAATCGTACAGACGAGGTTTCCAAAAAAGAGACAGTACGTATGTGGACAATAAAAAAAAACAACTTCAAATTCCAAAAGGCAATGTCTGAAAAAAACATGCAAAAAAAAAAAATCCTAATAAAATGTGAAGTTATTTCATTTTACCAGTTACTATGGTATACTAGAGTCTACCAGGGGCAGGGGTACGGCCTGCAGGCCAAAGCTGGCCCACTAGGGTGTTCAATCTGGCCCTCCTGATTCATTTTGAAAATAGAAAAATGCACAAACACTTCACGTTCAGGATATTTTTTCTAAAATTATTCATTAACCCTCCCGTTGCCCGTTGCGTTCACTGTCCTCGCAATGGGTTTGCATCCTGTCTCACAGTCAGAGTATTTGTTTCCATGAAAACAAAGGAGAAAAACATGGGCTTATGGTTATTTATATTCATGATTCTACTGGTCGGCCCACTTGACATTTGAACAGGTTGTATGTAGCTTGTGAACCCAAATGAGTTTGACACGTATGGTCTAAACTAATGATATTACAACCTTTCCTCACTGTTGTGAACAGATTAAAAAAGAGCCAGTGATCAAAAAAGCAAACAAACTAGAAATCCTAACACAAGGACACAGCTTCAGTAGAGCGGTTGTTGTTTAAAGCTAATGTATGTTTTGACATTCCTTTTACACGTGAGGCAGCTGAAGAATGAATTTGCTGACAAAGACACAGACTAACTCTTGACAAATCAACCTAAAGTGTGCTCAGCCTTCGGCAGCTGCTGCTGCTGCAGGATGGTAGAAAATGCTGGATAATGCACAATTTCTCAGAAGCGTTTGACTGTAAAGAAAGTCAGACTGTTTTTACATAGTGCAGTCGTGTGAACTATGACATTTAGCGCCGAGAGCGAAGCAGAGAAAACTCAATTGACTCATGGATGTATATGCTCTGATAAGCTGAAGGAGTTGGGGTTCAAGTATTGGCTCCACTGTGTGTATAAATGGTACTTTTTCATTTGTACTTTTCTTAGTCATATTCTCAGGTGCTTTTCTCACTACCTGAGATCTTATTTTGTAATTGTTTGGACCAACATAAAATATATATATATAAAAACAGTAATAGACAATAAAATGTTTTTATATAATACATAGACAATATAAAATATGTACAGAATTTAGCTAAAGATAGGTAGGAAACAAAAAGAACATATATTTACATAACCTAAAAATATGCTATGAAAATACATAAGCAAAAAAAACAAACAAACTGCTGTATATAACCCCCCCCCCACCTCCTCACTCTAATACTGGACCACCTCCAGTAACACAGTGGCTATTTGGATGGAAATGAGTGTGCAGTCCGAGTGTGTGTGTGTGTGTCTGCGTGGGTGTGTGAAGATCTAACTTAATTTGACTCAAATGCGCTCCCCTCGCTACTGCACTGACTTATGTTTTCAGCCCTTGGTCTGTGTTGTTGACGTTCTCTCTGCCTCCTCACCATCTTCCACAGCTGTATGGAATAATATGTGGGAACTCATTAGCAGAGAGACTTTTACAGCTTGATGTTTCTGCCGTATATGGAAATGTATTGCTTTTCCTACTGCGTGTGTGTGTGTTGGTATTTTTTGGTCACTGATGTGTTCTTCTTGCAGCGTTCCCTTTTATGCTCTGGTGTTCCTTTATTGTCCGTCAGTTATAAGTTAGCATGTAGTGACTGTAAGTGGGATTACGGTGTTGATTGATGTCGCCATCTCTGTATTTCCTCCTCCTCCTCATCAGCCCCTTTTACTAGCAACGACAAGCACTTTACAGTGACTCAGAAAGAAGCATCTGTACTGTTTGAATTGACTTCCTAAAGCAGTGAGTCCCAACCCCTGTGCTGTGGCACACTGGTGTGTGGTGAGACCTGACAGGCAGACTATTTAAATGCCCTTCCTCTAGGTGGCAGCAGATGACTAGGTCCAAGTCAACTTTTTTTCAATTCTTGCTAGTAGATCGGGGTGTGTTCAACCAAACGGGCCCAGGTTTTATATTGAGTACTTAAATTGTGCATCAAATGATACTAGAATATTATTGTATTTCATTACATATACTTTTTGGCAGTATGGCAAGGTTTCATCCATGTTGTAAATTTTTTTTTTACGGTTTTAACATAAGAGCTTTGCCCAGACATAATGTCGACCTTTAGTGAAAAGTAAAGCTAAATAAAAATGATTTTTTTTAATGAGTTTGGTGTACCTCAGGGCTCCCTCTTAATCCATTTTAATGTCAGTGCTTCCATTAAAGTCAGTTTAAAAATATGTTTTAAGTGTCCTAAGCTCAAGGTGGGAACACTATCTTTAGTTAACTGAAAACATTATTTATTAATTATTTTAAACTTCTATCTAGTATCTGAGAAGTGAACCCAAACAAACAGGAAAAACGTACAAACTCAAATCAGAAAAGCCAGTAGTTACCACCTGAGCATGAACCAGTGCTCTTCGTACTGTAAGGCAAGAGCACCAACCTCTCAGCTACAGTACTGTGCGGCTGTGATCAGGTTTCAGAGTTTTAATAAGTGTTTGGACAACTTGGTTAATTAGCACCACCTTACCTGGCTGCAAGAGCTGTCAAACCTAACACTCCAAACAGAGCCTTGCTGTCAACAGAATCAGTTAACATGTTAAGCAGGTTGTTTTAATAATGAATAGGAACAAGTTAGTTGAAAGTTTCCAGAACACTCAGAACACAACTGAATTCTGAACCATTTACAGAAATGTAATTGTTTAACTTTTTTTATCTATTGCTACAGTAGGACTTCCTTTAACTTATTTTATCTATTGCTACAGTAGGACTTCCTTACTTCCTCTTGTTCTGAGTAGTT